TACTTGATTTATCAAGTTTAAGTATAGATGATCAATGAAATTATTTTATTACCCCCATTTTGCCAGTTAACCGTTTTCACATTGTCATATAACATTCTCTTTCGTTATGTTCTGTCACCTTCATTCCCACATTTGTTTAATCCTAGTCCTATAATTAAAGGCATTCAATAGTTACCACATATGTTTTTGTCATAATGTCTCTTCGCTGACTTAACTTTACCCTTACGTAGATTTTTATGAAGAATTCATGTGATCAAAGAGGCACATGCACCCCGATGTTTATAGCAGCATTATCAACATTAGCCAAACTATGCAAAGAACCCAAATGTTTATTGACTGATGAATGGATAAAGATGTGTGTGTGTGTGTGTGTGTGTTTGCGTGTATATGTATGTATATTTGTGTGTGTGTGTGGAATATTACTCAGCCATCAAAAAAATGAAATCCTAACATTTGCAACGATGTAGATGGAACTAGAGTGCATTATGCTAAGCAAAATAAGTCAGTCAGAGAAAGACAAATGCCATATGATTTCACTCATGTGGAATTTAAGAAACAAAACAGATGAACATATGGGAAGGGAAAAAAAGGGGGAAGCAAACCATAAGACTCAGCAATAGAGAACAAACAGGGTGGGGGATGGGCTAAGTGGCTGATGGGCATTAAGGAGCGCACTTGTTATGATGAGCACTGGGTGTTATATATGAGTGATGAATCACTAAATTCTACTCCTGAAACCAATATTACACTATATGTTAACTAACTGGAATTGAAATAAAAATTTGAAACAAAAAATAAAAACAAAGAGAAAAAAGAATTCATGGAAAAATATTAGCTGATCTCTTGCTTGATCAACACAAGTAGTCTTTATACAATTTGGCTTGTCCCCACATAATATTCACGCATTATGTTTTCTTTCTATGGCAGGGGAATATTACATAGATATTTCTACATTATCCTCTTCACTGAATGGTTGCATTTGATGAATTTGAAACAAATCTATTTTTTTTTTCCTTTCTTTTGTCCTCACCATTTTTGCCTGGAATCTCATTTTTTTCTTCATCCTTAAAATCCAATAACTTTAACAAACTTTAAATAAAAGTGACTACTCTTGATTAATGCTCCCCAATTCGCTCAGTGTTGCATTTTTTCAATATTGTTGTCTTGAATTACAACTTTAAAATTTTTTTTTTCTTCTTGCTTGCTTGCTTGCTTGTCTTTGGAAATTCACCTTGGTTATGATACAACTTTCTCTCTTGACTCTTTCAAATCTTTTTTCTTTTTCTTTTTCTTTTTTCTCACAGCTGTCCTCTGACCCCTGGTGTCTTTTCTAGTTTCCTAACTTCCTTGCATTCTTCCCAATCTCTTTCTTTATTTCTTTTGTGTGTTTTATTTTTCTTTCCTGATTTTTTTCTTGATTTCTGCAAGCTTGTTTTCCTCCCTCCTGTTGTCAAGCTATATCAGTCCTATTCCTGCATTTCTACTGGATATTTTTGCATCATCTGAAGTATTACTTCATTAAGTTTCTATTGTTTAATTTACTTACTCCTTGCTTTGCATGTTCATCAGCTTTCTGGCAACCTTTTCCTGGTGCATGTTTTTTATCTGTGCATAGATTTTTCTACTTTTTACATTTTTCATGTAGAATCTTTGTGACTGTGCAATACCCAGTTCCCTTTTCCATTGTTCATCCCTGAATGAGTTGAATTTTCTTGGATCAGCAATCTGGGGAGACACCTGAACTGGAGGTTAGGGAAGGGGGCAGGGTAGCCTTTCAGCTATCTCATTCTCTGACTACTTCCTACTGTTAGGGCTCCTCTTGTTTCTTTATTTTTTTATATATATATTTTTAAAGATTTTATTTATTCACGAGAGACAGAGGGAGGGAGAGAGAGAGAGGCAGAGGGAGAAGCAGGCTCCCAAAGAGCAGGGAGCCTGATGCGGGACTCGATCCCAGGACCCTGGGATCATGACCTGAGCCAAAGCCACCCAGGCGCCCTCCTCTTGTTTCTTTATATAAAAATGTCTTCTTTTCTTTTTTAATATAGCAGCCATTCTGAAAATAATCCTGCTCATCCCTGTATTTTACTTATGGTTTTATCAGGGGGTAGCTTTTGAAATTAAAATTAAAAAACTTTGCCTTCTCTTCAGAAAGTAGTGGAACTTCCTGGAACTCTCCAGGAGCTTCCCCAGGTGTTAATATCACTTGGGCTTCCACTGCTCTGCCCCGATTTTTTTCTTTCACTGCTCCTACACAGCTTCTACCCATGGAAGCATTTCAGGCAGAAAAACTGTGGTGTTGGGGTGGGGTGGGAGGGGTTTTTGATAGGTTTTGAGAATGAATCACTTGAAATGAGAAAAAAAATATTAAGAATAAGGTTTGAAAGTTATGCTTGGGCTAATAGGCTATGAATTTTTCCCTTCAAGAAAAGGGAAGCCATATGATATTTTTAAGGGTAAAAGCATTAGTTACCTTACATAATTAATCAATCTTTGCTAACTAATTCTATATATATGTTCTATATACATAGAAAAATATATGTATGTGTATATCTATAGATAGAAATATATATGTATGTATATATTCAAAGTGTACAAAATAAGCTAATTTTTAGAATTAAAGCTTGAACTAATGAACATGGGTTAAAATTATAATTGTAGATTTTCTCTGATGCAATAACAATACATGCTCTTGAGAAAATTCTGAAAATTGTAGATAAGAATAAAGCGGAAATAAAAAATTTTAACATTTTGACCAGAGTTACATATAAATGCATTATTTTTTATTGGCTTTTTCATATTTTTTATTGTTCTAAAATTGGAATAATATTCTAAATATTGTGATCTCCATTTTATTCTTTTTGAATATATATTCCTTTTTTTTTTTAAAGATTTATTTATTTATTTATTTGACAGAGACAGAGATAGCAAGAGCAGGAACACAAGCAGGGAGAGTGGGAGAGGGAGAAGCAGGCTTCCCGCGGAGCAGGGAACCAGATGTGGGGCTCGATCCCAGGACCCTGGGATCATGACCCGAGCCGAAGGCAGCCGCTTAACGCCTGAGCCACCCAGGCGCCCCGAATATATATTCTTTTAAGTAGGATTTTTTATAATGGCTTCAATAGTATTCCATTGTATGAAAGTAGTATAATTCATTTTATTAGCTCTCTATTAAAAGATATTTAGGTGCTTTGACATTGTAAATAGTATTGTGCTCATTGTCCTAGTATGTAAATCTTAATGTACTCCAAATACTGTAATCCAAATAGTACTTCGAATAAATTGGAAAGAGTAAAAGTCCTGGGACAAGAAATTATACATATTTTTCATATACATTCTCAAACTGTACTCGAGACAGGTTTTATTACTTATTATTCTCTAGATTAGACAAAGTACTCATTTCTTTTTCTTTGAATCCTTGATGAAAATAGGCTTCGTACTTTTTGAATGACTTTGCCAATTTGTTATATGAAGTATATGAAGTATGAAGTATGGTCTCATCTTTATGATATTTCACATTTTAAAAATTATTACTGAGATTGAACTTTTTTTTTTTTCTGAATTTGTGGGACATTTACATTTCTCCTTTTATAATGCCCTGTCCATGCTCTATGGCTGGGTAGCTTTGCGGGGGCATTGCCCCTTCTCTGATGAAAAAACTGGGTGAAAACTCATAGATGGCAAGTAGCAGCCTTCTCCCCATCATTGGTTTGTCTTTTAATTTTGTCTGTCTTTTCAATACAGTATTTTAAATATTTATAAATCTATCGATATTTGCCTCTATATTTCCTTTTGTTTTATAGTCAGAAATTTTTCTTTTCAAAACCATATAAATCTGTGAATATCTTTTCTTTATCCTTGCATTGTTTGAAATGTGACAATTATCACTTATTAAATTGTTACGTGATCTGAGGACTGTTTTTACATTTTTTTATTTTTTTAAAAAAAGATTTTATTTATTTATTTGAGAGAGAGAAAGAGAGCACACGCGAGCAGGGAGAGGGGCAGAGGGTGAGGGAGAGGCAGAGAAGCTCAAGCAGACTCTGCCCTGAGAGTGAAGCCCAACCGGGGGCTCAATCTCACAATCCTGAGATCACGACCTGAGCCCAAACCAAGAGTCTTAACCCACTGAGCCACCCAGGCTTCCTTGTTTTTATATTTTCTGTCATGTTCCATTTGTCTCCCTGATGCTTCATTCACTGGTCCTATGCACATTCATTTCATTAATTTTATAGCATGCTAATAGTATTAGATAGAGCATATTCACTATTACAGTCTTCTATTTCAAAATTTATTGTTTTCACTCATATATTCTACATAAACTGAAAAGTATTTTGCTCAATTCTCACAAAGTACCTTGGAATTTTATTTTATTTTGGCAGCATCAAAACAAAAAATTTATTAGAGAGAACATACCAGATATACTGAGTTACTGTTTCTCAAATTTTATATTTTTCTTTAAATTATAATTCTTTTCCTCTGATATTCACACACACACATTTATATGATTTTTCCTACTTATTTATTAATCTCACTAAAATATGACAGTAATCAATTTCCTTAAGAAATTATTCAAAAATTTTCCACAATTATATAGGTTATTTTAACACCATTTCTCATTAGGGAGCCTATTGTGAAAAATATATATTATTGCATTAATTGCTTTTCCTTTTTGAGCTTATACTTTTGTTTTAAAATTAAAAAAAACTCAACATTTTTGTTCATTTTATTTTAAATAAGAAAAATCCTTAAATACAGATTTTCAGATGATTTAACATCACAAAAATAATATAAATAGTAATATGAATAAATTGATTTTTATCCTCATTCTTGATAAGGTTATAAATATTAATTGCCTTATGATATCATCTAACATGTATATGCTTAAATATTTGATGACTCGCATCACAAATGGTTTTGATATGCAGGCCCCAAATTCCTGTATTAATTGCAGTTATTTTTGTAGATCAAAATATCTAATGTTGTTATTTATGTTTTAGGTTAGTGGGATGGTTTGGCCATGAACTCAGCACCCGATTTAAGATGGATAACAGTAAGTGTATTCAATTTCACTTCCCAGGCCATTTCATTTTACCTTCATTTCAATTTTCATCTGTCTTTGTATGATATGTAATATCCATGCCTCATGTAGAGTGCACTTTGGAAATGCCACTGAGAATTCTTAAAATAAGAAATGACATTTCCAGAGTGTAAGACTAAGTGTTTGTAGATTTTAGCATGAATTTGAATCTATCCCTTTGTAGGGAGATAAGTGGAAGTGAAATGTAATGTACAGGACTCAGATCTCATCAATACTGAGTACCCAAAACATCAGGCAGTGAGGACAGAAAGGAATTTTTTGCTTGTAGTTAGACCCAGAGAGACTTAGGTGGCAATCCCACTTTGCTGCTTAATCGTTTTGTGATGCTGCACAAATTATATCATCTTGGGTTTTTTGTCTTTTGTTTTCTTTCTTGCATATCTAATGTGAATAGTAAAATCTATGTCAGGGTTTGATTTGAGAGTGAGGCAGGTTCAAAGCTGTAAACCAAGTAACACATAGCAGTGCTATTTAATAAATGCTCGTTTTTAGCTCTCTTTTTTTTTCAGTTTTTCCTTTTGTGGCTTTTGCCACACACCAAACAATAGCAGTTGAACCCCAGCAGGTAGAAATAAAAGTACAACATGTGCAGCGTGCTCCCAAACTGCCCTACTTTTTCTTGAGTGACTGACCCTATTCTTCAATCACATCGGATGCAGAAAGCTGCTTAAACGTTCTGAGTTTCAGTTACCAACCTGAATTACTATTTTAAATAAGTTTGCGTTTGTAAAAACCAAGATACAAATGATCAAGATGGGCTCTTCCAGTCAAATCAAAGAAACCTGTATTTTATCTTGGCTGCTGGAATGATTAGCTGTGTTAATATGCCAGTTACTTAAATTTTTTGTGGTGGGTTTTCTTATCTGTAAACAAGAGAATTGGACTTTTTCAGGAGTGGGCAAAGTCTCTCTGTCAAGGGCCAGAGATGAGATATTTTAACCTTTTGGGGCTATACTGCTCTGTGGCAAATATTCAGTTCTGCCATTGTACTTCTAAAGCGGTCACAGACATAAATGAGTGAATGTGGCTATGTTCCAATGAAACTTTATTTACAAAAACAAGTTGTGGGCCAGATGTGGTCCCCAGGACATAGTTTAGTCCTGGATTAGATGCATCTCTAAAGACCTAGCATATTCTAATGCTCTTTTAGTCAGTCTTAGCTTTAATTTGATCTCCAACTAGCAATTTAACTCTATTGGATTTGACTTGCTACTATTCAATCTAATTGATTCTAATTAGGATAATATCTGCTATTAATTTACTTCTTAAATATATCATACTTAGGCAGATCATTTTTTTAAAAGCCTTTTTTTTTTCCCTAGGAGAAGCCACTTGACCTAATAATCCTAGTGCTAAAAGTCACCTTCCTAGGTCATTTCATTCATATTTCTGCTTTTGGATGGCATTGCAATTACAAGCCACTAAAATCTTGATGTTTTTCTCTCATTGACATGGTTTCATAGTGGAAAAGCAAAGCATGGGGCACAATAAGGAATACTGGTTTGGGAGTGGGAAAACAGAGGATGAGATCCAGAATTCTTCTACAAAAGGTCATTTTTTATGTGTCTAAGAGCTCTAGGTTGTGGGGGCAGGGGAGACAGACATTGCAGGTGAAGGGGAAACATGCCACTATTTTAGGTCCATGGAGTTTCTCTTAAGTATCTCGGAAAACTTAGGAATAAAAGCTTTTAAATCTTACTCTTTTTCTCTCTACTACTTTAGTGTCATAAAAAAAAAATCCATAGAGAACATTTTTTAAGGTACATTCTATAATAAATGACATGATGTTCATTTTTCAGAACTGCAGTTAATCCCTGGGGTCAGTGGATTTCGAATTTCAAACCCTCCCATTTTGTTGGTCTGTTCCTTACACGCTAGTTTAGAGGTAAGTGATCTATGCTTCAACCTCCCCACATCTTTACCTATTTCTTTACCTCACTGTGACCTACTGTAGGACCTCCTCTCCTAAACAGCAAGATTAATGAACCATGATCAAAGGCCACTGTTCTCCTTCAGGACAGTGACTGTGGGCTAATTGCCATCTCCTTTTTCTATCTCCAGCCCCAGCACTGTGCTTGGCACATAATAAGTGTTGTTGGCACTTGATAAATATTTTGGAACTGACCCGGGGATACCTATTTTTAGTTCCACTTAGAATTTGTATGAACTTAAATAAGTTGTTTAATCTTCTCATGGTCTTTCTCTTAAAAAATAACCGTGCAATATTTAATTCTTGATTAATTCACTCATTCAACATTTATCTATTAAGAAAGTATTATGTGCCAGACATTGTTGTGATTACTGGGAATTCTGCTTCTGCTGGTTCTGTGAGTCAGTGAACTCACAAACTGCCATGTCACAAAACTATAGGAAGACATACTTTAAGGAAAAAAATAGAAATCGTCAGAGTAAACCAAATATTGAGCAAGGGTGTCTCTTGAAGTAAGTGAATTTTTTTTTTTTTTACTGGAGGTCTATGCCATTATATTCTTGTATAATCTCTACTATTAGTGGCTCAATATATATTTTTTTAGTAAATTCATATTTTTAGTTAAAATTAGTTTCACCCTAAACAATAATATCCAAGGAATCAGTTTGGTTTTTCTAGATGTGCATATCTACCTTTCTACCTATTTATATAGATAGATACTTATCTACTTTACCTATCCATTTATGTATCTATATTATATTCATATGTATATCTATGTAACTTATTTGGATATTAATTTCAGGATGAGACTAAATTTGTTTAAGTAAATATGTATTAAATGATTATATGCTATATAATTAATTTTAACACATATACTAAGTAAATATATTTTATATACATACATAAAGTAAAATATATTTTAGGTAAATGTGGGGCTTTTTTGGTAAATAGAGTTTCTAACAGATTTTAAGAGAATTTGACTTTTTAAATTTAAAATGTTTTAAAGTCATCTAGTTTGTGATATTTTAGGAAATCCTGTTGTTGAGTATTTCAGAATGAGTGACTGGATAAAGGCTTCCAGAATCTCTTCTAAACCTAAATTTTAGGATTCTGTGAACACGCATAGCAGTTTCTCCTTTTGGCCACTGGATGGCAGTGTCAAGTTCTTTTTTTTTTTTTTTTATACAACTTCACCTCTAGACAGTGGTAATCAACTCATTTCACTTCATCCCAATTTAAAAAGCACCTACTCAGTGTGACCACTAGATGGAGCTTGTGTTGTTTTCGCTTTTTGGCCGGTTTTTTTTTGTTGTTTTGTTTTTTTAAGTGAAAATAGACCCAGTAACAAGATTTTTTAAGCCAGTGAAAAAATTTTTTTAATTTTTTTTAGGGGGTAGTGAGGGAATCTGCTTAGCAAGTCAGATAATGATATTTGAATTGTTGTTATAGTATCTATTCAGAGGAACACTTCTGTTAAATGTTTTATAATGAAATAAAATTTTGCTCGCTTTGCAAGTTTGTATCAGGAAAAAAATGAAATTCGGCATGAAAAGCACCAAGGTGTATCTTGGGAAGAACTAGTATTTAAGGTTTTTCCTCTGATTTTCCTTATTTTTGCAAATGAGTTCTCAGCCAGATCTAGAAATTTTAAACACTCTAGTATGTTTCTGCAGTGGACTGGTTTCAAGTATTTACCCCTTCAGCCATGAAAAAGAAGTCACATTCTCAGTTTTCCTACCACTGGTTCTCCAGGCTGGCTTGAATGATAAAAAGCATGGAAATTGGGGGGGGGGGCTTTTTTTATTTATTTTTTAAGTTTTATTTACATCATTAGTTTTTGATGTAGTGTTCCATGATTCATTGTTTGCATATAACACCCAGAAAGCACAGAAATTTTTACCACCACATCACACTGTATTATAGTCACCTAGACAAGGTTTTTGTTTTCAGCTGGAATCTGAAGATTGATTTATTTTTTTTTTCTTTAACACTGAAACTTAGCAAAAAGACCCTAAGAGCTTCAAGAAGTGGAATATATACTTCTCTGGAGCAACTTATCACTTAAGTATTTCTCTTGAGCCTCTTAGAAATACCTTACTCAAGTTTTTCGCCACTGAGGCTCCATTCTAACCAAAATTATCCTTAGGTAATCCAACGTTGTGTTTGAGAAAGTGTTTTTGAAATCCTTCCTCCCCATTATAAATTGCAAAATTCTGAAGTTACAAAACAGTGCATTTCTTTGCTTCTTACTCTTTACATAACCATTAAAATGTTCTACTCCCTAGACGCCATGTGAGTAAACACGAGGGCTACTGCCCTTGTTTACGTTATAGCATTATAAGAGAGAGGTGATTAAAGTTCAAATAAATGAGAGATGGATGAACGAATCAAAGTGCTTTTCCTTGTTGTAGCTACCTCTCTTTCAAAAAATATCCTACATAGTCAAAGACCAACTGGAGGAGCGATTCTAAACTTAAGAATCAATGTACATGGATATATCAGTTTGACAATATGAGTTTTTAAAAATATTAATATGGTTTTGTTTATAATTACATGTGCATTCAATTGAATGATAGTATGAAAAATAGCACTTTATAATCAGTTTCAAACTGTCTTTTTCTTTATATTATTGGCTCTTAATCATTTATACCACATATTTATATAGTATAAATACAAATACATATGGTACAAATATGGTACAAATTTTATATATAACAAAAATGTGGATCAAGGGAACCTAGGGTAGGAACCAGGAGGCATATACTCTAGTCCTCACTGGGACACTAAGTGTGACCTTAGACAGGTGACAGCATCTCTTGATTATATGTACTCTTGAGTCCATTTGTCTCATTTTTAAAATTAAGATGTTTATAGCAGATTACTTCAGAAATCTCGATCTTCCACCTGCTAACTTGAAATTAAAAATATATTTATTGTATTTTGAACGGTCGTACTTGTATGCAGCGATAGGTAGACAATTTTTTGACTCTTTCAGTATATGAATTTATAATGAAATAAATAGCTCCAAAATACAAAACTAGAGCATTCAGCTAAAATATACAGAAATGTACTATGCGTTTCCTCAGAAAGTTATTAGGCAGCCAATTTTAAGAATTTAAGAGAAAAAAATGTGACACTTGAAACCATCATATATCCTTATTTTTCCCATTTAAACTTCTCTAACTTTCTAGCTTTGTATTCATTTTTCTCAGTAAGAAAAATAACCCATGTCGTTGAAACTCTACCAAAGATTGTTATAAGCTGAATATTTCCAAACTAGAGTTTTCATTTTTTTCTAATTAAAAAAATATTCTTTCTCAATATGGAAAGCATAGAAATAATGAGAAGCCAAAATGAAAAGAAGCTATTTATTCTATTCTCCAGATAACTCCTCTGACAGGATTTTGAGTGCCTCACAATGCAGCTGTCCTTACTGTGGTTTAATGATGGAAAACGGTTTCATATTTAAAAGTTATTTTATTATCAAAGAGTAATGGTATGTTAAATTTGAGACTGTTATTAAAAAAAATCGGTTTCTAGCTATCAGAGAAATCTGCAAGAACAAAATCTCCTTTAAAAAAAAAAAATCTATAAACTTAAGTAAGATTCCCCAAAGTCCTACTGACCTATGAATACAAATGAAGTATCATTAAAAGTAGTACTTCACACATTCCTCCTACCTGTATCTTACCGGGCTTATAGCAGAACCAGAAAATTTTTCAGAATTATTTATAAATAAAATGTTCAGCTATTAATCTCCAAAGAGAAGACTGGAAAAATTCCTCTCCTATTCCTGTATTCCTGTCCTGCCAACCAAACCGCTGGTGGGTCATGCTTTGCCTCTCCCTGCTCTGCCCTCTGTGAGAATTGATTCTTGATCCAGGCTCTCTTGATCCAAAAGTTGGCTCTGTTCCCTTGAGTCCACCTTGTGCCAGATCCACTTACACTTTGTTTTACAAGGGGGAGTGAAGAGATGCCTCCTATCAAACACAATGTAACTCGGGCTACCTGAGTAACTTGAGTTACCTGCTTGTACTGCCCATCCTAGATACCTTCTGAGACTGTGACATCAAACTCGACTCTTCCAAAGTCTGCGAGGTCTGGTTGAGGACAGAGACAGATGCCATTCTATCCTGTTCCTCCCATCTTCCTTGGATACTGTTACCTTCAATACAAATCCCTCAGTCTCCTTCAGCCAGATCTACAGCTCCCGTGCCATATAGATCAAGGAAATCTTTGCCCAAATGGTTTGACTTCTATCAGAATGCCTGCTCACACATGCCACATGTATATACAGAAATAACTATTTTCCCAAGCTTCATAAAGTCTAGATGTCACTGAACGACCCTGTCTTTGCTCTGTGGCATAACAATAACATGATACAGAAAAGGGATATTAACTGACATGCCAGTGCATCATGCTCCGTTTGCAGTTTATTCAGTTCTTATATGTAGGATATATTTTTAAACTCTACTTGACCTTAAGAGATAAGCTAAAAAAGCATGTCTGTTTTGACCTCTAATGTTCCAACTCCAGTTATTGTGTGCACTTGTCACTCATCTTAATATAAGACACCTCAGGCAGCAAATGGTAGTATTTTCACACCAGTGCTGGAGTTTAGCAGGGGGAAAAAATGATGAAAGAAGAAAGAAAGATAAAAAGAGAGAGAGGGAGGAAGACACACACACACACACACACACAGAGAGAAAGAGAGAAGTGAGCCTAACTGCCTTGGTACTAACATATGTATTATCTAACATGACTTGCTTCCCTGTCTGACAAAACTTAATTTTATTATTTAACTGCTTGTTTGCTTACTGTTACTGGGGAGATTTAGGAATTGGTAAAACAGTTATAAATAATATTTGTCACACTGCCTTTCATATGTACATGAGTATTTAGCCCTTATTATACTTCTGTGTGGACCAAAAGCTATATCTGAATAGAAAAAAGTCCTCTTGATTATGATTTTGTAAAATGGTTTGGAGGAAAAGGTTTGAATTTCATGATCTTTAAAAGAGGACATGTTTTTGCAAAGGATTATCTAAAATGGGATGTTTTTGGAAAGGTCAGAAGTGGACATTTCCTTTTTTAACATGATTTTCACTTAATTTTTTCTTTGTAAATCAACAAGACACTGTTAATCAGATTGTTTCTCATTCTGTAGATCTTTAAGCAGGCAACTATGAAAGCATTGAGGAGAAAATCTATTTTGCTCACCGGTTATCTGGAATATTTGATCAAGCATTACTATAACAAAGATAAAGCGGATACCAAGAAACTGTTTGTGAACATAATTACTCCATCCGGCATAGAGGATCGTGGCTGCCAGCTTACACTAACATTTTCTGTTCCAATAAAATATGTTTTCCAAGAACTAGAAAAACGAGGAGTGGTTGTAAGTATATCTCTTGCTTTGCTACCCGGTTTTCTCTCTGAGTTGCATGTTGGGGGTAAAATTTGGGTTCTTCATTTAATTTACTGTTGCATGTTATTTCACATCGGTCATTCAGTGAGGTTAGATTAAGTGCCAACTAAATATTCATCACTGTGCTAATTGAAGACACAGAGATCTGTCATTTCTGATAAAAGGTAAGAAGCCACAAATTTTGAATATAGGAACCAGTCTCCCATAATATATTCGTTCTTTTCATTACAGTTTGAGTACAAAAAAATTGTTTCGTCATAATCAATTAGGACGTGTTTTCACTAGTTTTTACTAGTGAAAGCCCAAATATGTATATTTATTGAATACACAGAATTAAAGAACATAACATAGTGGAGAGGAAGAAAAGAAGTCCATCTTACTTAGTTGTTTGATTGACCCAAGTCGTTTTCAACCTTGTCATTTTAGTAAAAAAAGAACTGTAGACACACATCTCAGGGGTGTTAACGTTGTATGGAATTTTTTTTTTTTTAACCCTTGGGCCTAAGTTGATCTGTTTAGTCTCTCTCAGAAAATAAGCGTTAATAGGGTCATTTCAGGAAAACTGGTGGTCAATGGATCTACTTCCAGTGACGGTGTAGTTTAGGAATTGCTCTGCTCGTGTGGTCCTGTCACTTCTGAGGAGAGGTTATCTCAGATTCCAGAGGCACAAATCCATATGTTAGTGTTCCAAATCCAGTTCTACCATTTGTAAGCTGTGTGCTCCTGGAAAGCTAGTTCATGTCTACTGGCTTGAGTGTTTCCATCTGGATTTGGAAGGCAAAAATGCCTCCAAAAGTGGTTATGAGAATTAAATGGTCCAGCACACATAAACCATTTACTGTACTGTCTAACTCACAGTGGCCGTTTCTTAAAGATTAGTCATAGTGATCTTCCAGCTAGACCAAGTTATCTGGGTCCATTTTGTGACATTTCAGGGATACAGCCAACTCCTTACAGGTGAGATAGAGATTAAAGGATCAAATGTAAAGACTATTGACTAAAACTCTCCAGGTCTCAGTGAGGTTCTTATTCATTTAAATGTGCCCAAGGGTTCCAGTCTCTCCAGAGTCTCCCCACTGATAAATTATATCCATGACTTATCAGATGCTTCAAGAAGATGATTGCTGAGTAGACTTCAGGAAAATGCTTTGGATACTCATGACATTCATTCATATTTTAACTATTTTTAAGGGGAGAGTTTCCAATATCATAGAAACATGTTTTACTACAAGTAAAAAAAATGCTTATATATTAAGTTTTAGGGAAATCGGCATGATTGCTTTATGTAAGTTTATCTTGAATGTAGATTTTTTCATTATGTGAGTAATGCTAACATTACTGTGACTTTATTTTCCCCCCACAGTGTGACAAGCGAGAACCAAATGGCATCCGAGTGGCTCCAGTTCCTCTCTACAACTCTTTTCATGATGTTCATAAGTTCATCAGTCTACTTGCTTCTGCACTTGACTCTGCAGAAATCAAAAATAACAGTGTTTTCTAGAACAACTTAAACAAGTGTTACTGAAAGCTTCTATGGTTATTATTATTTTCAAATTTTAATAATTGGAAGTCTTTCAAAACAGATTATATATACCTGGCAATGAATTATATACTTTACAGAAAAATCTGATATATTTTTTCCAAGAGTCTGTTATCCTGAGGAATTCACATGTCTGTCCAATCAAAGTTCTCACTGGTCCGGGTATTATGTACATAGTCTTAGCTAGCTGTCACATTTCGTGGTCAGTGAATGTTTTATGTCGATGTAATTTATAATTTGACTGACAACTTCACAATATATGTGCAATTTTTTGTGTCAATTTTAGAAATGTTACTTTAGTTTTAATTTACCAAAGAGTTTCTTATAGTCCCTGTAATTTCACAGTCTGATATATGTATGATTTTGCAATATTCCATCCAACTCTAATCTAAGAAACAGAAAATAATTTTCTAGGGCAGTAGCTTTCAAATGTTTTGTCCACAATCCACACTAAGAAATATATTTAATATCAAAGACTAGTATTTATGTGTGTTTATGCCTTATTTTATTAATTCTAATATACACATTTTATCATATTTTAACATCTGTGAAAGAATAATTTATTTTTCAGTTTTCAATCAATAGTTCTTACAGTTGCCATTGACCTTTCATGTTACCATCCCTCTCATTAGCATGCTTCTCACAATGAATAGATGATTTTTTAAAAATGACATATAGAGCAAAAGCAAAAGTGTCATAAATTATTTGCCCATGCTCTATTATTATTCATTTTATCTCATTACCGCAAGTGTTGGTTGAAACTTAAGTTTATTTCCCCACCAACTCTTGGGTCCTAATCCATTTTACAAGGTTGTCCCTTTATTTGGTGTTACTGTAATTTCTTTTTAATGGGGACTTGCCCTTATAGAAGCCTGTAGATGTTACCCTATCTCTAAAATAGTGAAACAAATCATTCCAAGATACTTGTGATTAAGAATTTGGATTAGCAATGAGTGCTTCATCTCTTAGCCTCTAACCTGAATCTATGGACCTTTTTCTCCACTAGGAAAACTACAGTTACACTCAACCCTGTTGGACTTCCCTGTTTTTCAGCTGTTGATGCTATAACCACTATTCATGAATTGGCAAAATAGTCTACGTTTATATACCTGGGCAGCAAGAAAGAGTGACTACAATATAATTAGTGCCCCTGATGAACAAATTTGAATGAAATTAACTTAAACAACCACTAGAGTTAAATAAAAGATGCAAAATGACAGCAATACCAGCACCTACTTGTATGTATTGAGTACTCACCCTGTACCATGTATGGTGCTGATATATTTATATGTTAGCTTGCTTATTTGAGTGGCTGCACAACTGCTTTAGCAAAGCTTCCCCCTCCAACTTTGGCAAAACTCATCTTTGTGGATGGAAAAGTTCTCAGAATCCTAGAATTCAACCCTATACAACTTCATGTAAGAGGAATCATTTTGAATCTCACAGTGGTAAGCAAAACAGACGTGGTTTCAGTTCTCAGGGAACACGCAGCTTAGTGGGGGAAATCCGTAGTAAAACATATAAACGCCCAGGTAAATCTGTGATTACAAACTGTAGGTTTTATGAAAGAAAAACAGATGATACTATAAAAGTCTCAAGGGTATTAATTAAATGATCAAGGAAGGGGAGGCATATGAAGGTGCTTGTAAGTTTAAGTTTAAATATTATGCTAAAAATTTAAAAAATATATATCTTGCTAATCACATTAAAATCACATCAAATTATGTATACAGATTATTCAAAGAATAATCAGTACTATGTCTTCATCACACAGGATAGGAAGCAGAGTATTAGAAATTCCCTTTCTCGGGGCCCCTGGGGGGGGGGTTCAGTCGTTAGGCGTCTACCTTCGGTTCAGGTCATGATCCCAGGGTCCTGGGACCAGGCCCCAAATCGGGCTCTGTCTGCCTGCCACTCCCCCTGCTTGTGTTCCCTCTCTGTCAAATAAATGAATAAAATCTTTAAAAAAAAAAAAAAAGAACAAAAATTCCCTTTCTCCCTGCTTGTATTCCCCTTCCTCCCCAAATCCAGAGATAACCATCAAATCATATTTTGTGTTAATCATTCCCTTACTTTCATTGAAGTTTTATACCTATGTATGTACCCAAAAAAATATATTAGCTGATTTTGCCTCTGTGTGAACTTTGTGTAAATGATTGTATTGTATATCTTCTGCTTCCTTTGCTCAACACCAAGTTTTTGAGATTCATCCATTTGTTACATATAGCTTTTTATTCATTTTCATTGCTGCTCAATGTTCTAGTATATAATTGGAGTTATTAATTATTTAATTTACTTATTTTTGGAGTTACTCATTTATTCTACTACTAATGAACATTGAGTTTTTTCCAAATATCTTTAACGTTGCAACAATGCTGCTATGAACATTCCCGGTACACAGGTTCAAATTTTTGCCTAGGACATATAACTCTGAAAATGCCAGGTCATAGGACACACACATGTTCAACTTCACTATGCAGTATCTAACTCTTCTCCAAAGAGGTTGTACCAGTATCCATTCTAACAAATAGGAAATGAGAGTTCTCTTCTCTTGATCCTTGACAATAGTAGTTGTTGATTGCTTTTGTCATGTACACAGGCTAAAATAGGGTGATTACTAAAATAACAGAATGAATGTATACTTCCACAGAAGTAGAAGGAGAGACAGAATGAGGACATACACCCTTCAGTTAATGCTTCAGAAACCATCCTTAATCTGTGGATTGAGCCAAGATTAGAATTGTACCTGAGTTGCTCAGCTCTTTCCTTTCCCATGTTGTCCGAAGTTTCTCCTGATGAGCTCCCTTTCAATAAAACATATTAATCCAGGGACACCTGGGTGGCTCAGTCGGTTAAACATTGGACTCTTGGTTTTGGCTTAGGTCATGATCTCATGGGTCCTGGGATTGAGTCCTGTGTGGGGCTCTATGCTCAGTGGGAAGTCTGCTTGAAAATTTTCTCCCTCTCCCCCTCCCACCACACTCAAATCTTTAAGAAAACATATGAATACAAATCCCAGCCTCAAGCTCTATTTCTAGGAAACCCAGTCTGAGATAGCATTTCTTTCATGTAGTGTTAATAACCATAAGCCTTTTATATTCTATATCCAGTATATGATAAATTTCAGTTTTCAGTTTTGTTTCTGTTGGTTTTCACAAATAATGCTTGTTTCCTTATGTCTATTCTACTTGTTAACTTTAAGCCACTCATTTTATTGATCCCCTTGGAATTCTTTGAGAAGTGGGTTAAAGTGTGTCTTTCCAAAGATACTCATTTTTGCTTCTGCCAGTTACTCAGGGTCATTTCAGACACAAGAACACTTAAATTTTTTTTTTAAGATTTATTTGAGGGGGGAGGAGCAGAGGAGGAGGGAGAGAGAAACTTACAGACTCCCTGCTGAGGGCAGAGCTGATGGGGAGCTCCATCTCATGACGCTGAGATCACAACCTGAGCCAAAACCAAGAGTTGGGTGCTTAACTGACTGTGCCACCCAGGTGCCTCTAAAATTTTTGTTTTCAGTTTTTTCAGATCACATGGATAGTATGAAACTGGATGTATTAATCCTTATGAGGGCCAATTTAGAGTTACAAATTCTCTGAAGATGCTAATTTTTTTGCTGACCTTTTGCATATTCTTTGGTTGCCAATGTATGTGGGCTCTTACGTCAGTTTTTTTAGTTGGCTGGTCCTGAGCTTGTTCAATGTCTCATTAAGTTATCAGCACTGAAGCTCAATGACTCTAGGATGTGGCAGAAACTTTGGGACGAAAATCATACTTCTACTTTCCAAGTTCCTGCTTTTATTTTATTTTGGGGTTCTTAGAATTTCTTACTTTCATGCCACCTCATTTTAAAAGGCATTTTTGCCATTGATTTTTATTTTTGTTTTCCAGTATCTAATCCCCCACAATATGTTAAACTGTCATGAAATGTTTTATGACTAAAAACAAATATTATGCACTTCTTATTTTCTTTGTAGAAAATGAATTGTACTTAATAATTCATGCACATTTATATAAATGCAATTCTTTTATAGTGATGCCCTTGGGAGCTATTTTAATACATAGAGCTGTCTGTGTAACACTAAATTATACTTATTATGCAAAACTGACTGGGGAAAAGGCTGGGTGTGAGGTCAATAACTAAACTTCAAATTAAAGAAGCAAACTTTTTCTACAGTTATTTTCTGCTAGGTAAGTTTCTACTTACTCTTGAGGTCAAAACTGAGTTTACATTCAAATTGTGTTATGCTTTTGTTCCATAAACTGAAATTGCTAGAGCACTGATTTTTAAGTAAATGGGTTTTTGCATCATCCTAAGAAAACTGCAAACACCCTGAAAGCATCATATCATAAAACACAACATTGGAAATCACCGAATTAGGGCATCCTGTAACTAAGATGATGGGTTTGATGCTCGCGTGGGTCACTAGCATCTGTATTATGTGTTTTCAAAAGATAAAGTTTGTTTTCTGCCCTCTAGTAATATTATATTTTAATCTCAGCAAGACGTATTTTCAAAGAACAAAATAGTAAAGAGGATTATTATGAATTAATGAATTTAAACATTTATGATGGTTTATTCCAATTATTTTTATTAATGCTCTAGTTTTCTAATTTCTGACTCTTTAATATAGCTCCTGAGTCCTTTTGATATTATCTTAACTTTTTTTTATATTTTTTGTTGCTTTTGGTGTGAGAAGATGTAGGCTCACCTTGTATATTTCCTATCTCAGTCTTGACATCACTTGTTCCTCTAAGACTATCCAGTTCCTTTTGGAGGAAAATGGTATTTAGAAACCATAATCTTAACAGTAAAAGTGCTCATTATAATTGAATTAATCATAGTTTCCAAGATTTTCAGTTGGCAGAGTTAGGAAATACATATTTTAAGAGAAATTGTATTATTTCATATATTTTTAATTTAGGATAACAAAATTTTTTATTTAATTTTATATTTATCTCAGAAAATCTTGGTTCTAATAATATTAATTACTGGTTTTATCATATATATGCTATAATTATCATCTGCATATATACATAGTTTTAGAATTAATAATACCAGAGCTATTATGAACAATAT